TTATTGCAATATCAACGTTATTAAAATAAGCTGATTTATTAGGCAGAGTTGGAATAAAATTTTTTAATCAATCCCTATCTAAGTAATCTCAATAACATTTGATTTTTTTTTTTTTTTTAGATTACGGTCATCGAATAAAAGGCTGATCGATCGAGAATAAAATCAATTTATAATTTTTTCTTTAGCCAAGCAAATGGCGAATTAAAGACTAGCGTATTGCGCAACACGAGATCGATCCAAGATATTTCTCGGCGACCTTACGATTGGCGACTCGCGAAAGAGGGGCTAACCCCTACACGCAGTACTAGACGCCGCATCCTCTCGAGTTTGTTTCCACCCCTCGTTTGCCCCCAGGAGCCCTTGGCCTCGCTGGCTCCTGCCACCTGCTAACCCCTGGCTCGCCTGCGACACGTCAATATTCGCCATCCACCCTCCGAAAACCGCCGTCCCCACCATCGCTACCACCCCAGAGGCCTGAGGGGCGCAGGCGCTCTAGATAAACCAGACACTGCACGATGGAGCCGCTGGTACCGAAGAACAAAGCGCTCGGATACGCTTGCAGCACTTCGTACGAATACCATGCACTTGATAAAGCCGCGTGTCGCAAACGGAATAAACTCTAAATAAATATTTTTTTCACGAGATTACGACTATATTAGACAATAGAATTTTATCGAAGATAAGAAATGAATAGATCAATTAATTATAAAATATCGATAATTTGCAATAACTTGCTTGAATGATATGTCAAAGTTTTATAGAATTTGATAGAATACTGATAAATTTCCGCCAAAAAGGTGTTCTTGATAAGATTATATTTACTAGGATAAGCAACATAAAATTCTTTTGAATGTTACTGTTCAAATTATATACTGTTCAATTATATTCTGCCTTTTAATCCCTTTGATAATGTAATTTCTCAACGAATAAAACATAGTAAGTATGTGTATGTGTGTATAAAATGATTATACACGTATCGAAAAGAGTAGCTGGTAATTTTCTAAAAAAATAATCGCGATAAAATAAACAGGGAACAATAGCGTATTAATTTTCGCTTTACATTCATAACGAATTCGCATTAACTCATGTTTAGCACACGCTTCCACGTGTCAAGCACGATAATACAAAAGTCAATAAGCGGAGCGTGTAGTCGAATATGAGGAAGCGTTATCTGCAATCAAATTACAAGATCAAATGCGGCGTTTGTATGCGTTTCATGTATCGGAACTTCGGCGAGTTCGGCCGCAGAGGCTGCGAATTCGATTAGAGCTCCGGTTTATAATTCATAAGACAGATGGAACTTAAGGGCACTCCATGTGCGCTTTAAATAAACATTATAATAAATGCGAAATAGCGGCGGCACGTGACGCTAATGTAACGTCGATACTCCACGTCAAGGTTGGGGCGAAAAATTATTATAAAAAAACTCTTCGGCTCTTCTAATGATCTCCTCGATTTAATATCTCATTGCTATATCCGTGGCTACTTTACGCGAATCCTAACCCTCCGAATGAGCGGATCTATAAAAAATGTAAAAAAAACGATTCTCAAAAACGCTATTACACCTTTATAACGATTAGATTAGCATCAAATATACAGACGGCGAGCCTCCCTCCATTGGACTCATCCTATCTGCATCTCGTGTATCTGACACGTGTTATACACGTTACATATCCATCACGCAATATCGCAATTTTTCGCGGCAAACTAAGCATTGCGCTCGGAATGTAATATCCTTGAAGTAGCGAGTAATGGAATACACGCAATCTAAAAATCGCGGAAAATCTAACAAAAAAATCTCCCTCGTTCTCTTTTAAAAAAGAGTATCATTTAATTTTAAAAGAACTTTTCTCTCACGAGATAATGCAAACGTAATATTCGTCGAAAGTTTACGCAGTTGGAAGAACCTAAATTCGGAATGAATGGAAATTGCTGCTTCTACGCACGCAGCATTACGGCGAATCGGAATTCTCGTTTCGCGAAAAGATTACTTGCGTTTAGCGATTCAACAAGCCGTCCTGCTATACTCAATTTCACCGTTACAACAAAATCCTATGATTCTTCCCACGGTGCGTGCGCGCCGGAAGTCGCGAGTGAATTATTAGTTGAAGATCCGTGGAACGATCAAATAAATATTTCGTGTATCATGAAAATGAAATAAAGGAAGTCGTCTATATTAAGGAGCACTATATGCGCTGTATTTGTACTCTCGATCGAGCAAATCTTTACGCTCAAACGGAATTCGGGGAAAATTAGTTAGCGCGAGCGGTGCGCTGGCGGAAATCCCTTTTTGTCAGAAGTGACCTGCAGCCAGCTGACCGACCGACGGCCGCCTTTCGCACCACGTTTTTCAACGCCATGCCTTTCGAAGAAACAAAAGCGACCGAAATAAATGGTAGGATCGGTATATCCGAATGTTCAAACAGTCTGGACTCCACGTAGCGCGTATTTCAGAAAACGGATCGTTTTTCTCGTTCGAAATTGAATAGGAGAATTTCTGTTTTCTGACGGTCAGAAGTCAAAGTTGTTTCACAACTTTTTGAAAAGTATTTAACGTTCATTTCTGCGATGAGTCACGCCTGAATCTAAAGGAAAAAATGTCGGGTAAAATGACAAAAATTACCGTTATTCTACATATGTATATGCTGTGATCTATTTAATATTCTCTTCAGCTATATGCAATCCTGTCTGAAGCGATGATCTTTAAAAAAAAAAACTGAGTAGACAGAAACTGAGGAAGCTCCGACGTTCGCGACCAAGAATATATTCGATCAACTACACTTGTTTAATGGCGATCTCATGCAGAGTGGACCGAAGAAATCCCCGAAGGTTCGCACGAGCGGTAAATATCGCGGGGGCGTGCGAACCTGCGCCCAGGTTCGCCTCACCTCCACCTCACCTCCGCACCCTGCTCTCGCACCCGCCATTGCTAACCCCTCCTACGGCGGGGTTCCGCATCCCCGCCTCGCAAACGTCGCCTCGTCGGCTGCTTCGTCGACTGGCGTCAGCGCCGTCAACGTCGTCGTCGGCGGCGTCGTCGTGGTGGTCCTCGCGTCGACGTAAGTCCCCGGCGAGCAGGCTCCCGCGAGCGAAGCTGCATGGCACAAGGACCACGCGAAAAAAATACGGCGAAAAAAATTCGCGATTATCCCGCGCACTCGCGCGTACCGCGAAATCTCGCGCGCTCCGCTCCGTGAACCGGAAGTGCGGGAGAGAGCTCGGCTGCACGTTCGGGCAAATTCAGTGTTATTGTTCTACTGCTGTTAACGAGTGTTTTTCATTATAGCGATAAGCGTTATCAGAGATCTAAGGCGATCCCAAAAAAAAAACGAATTCCGAAGGAGATTTCCAGATCCGGCGGGGTTTACATCTCTGTCACGTGGCGAATGTGACGAAAACGCGTCGTCGCATGGCTGACCCCAAGGTATTAAAGGCACTTATGTTTGTCTCGGAAGATCTACATTTCGTATATACACGTATCACGTCTCTTTATCTTGATATTGTACATCTGATCAAGGCTTTCTTGTTAATGTGTCTTCATGAAAAGGAAAATTTAAAATTTATTTTTATCAAGATTCAGATTGACGCTTTTACACGTTATAACATTTATATTAGAATTCTTGGTTCCATTAAAAATTGTTTAATGTTAATTTTCTTTATAAATTCAAAGCCAATTTTCTTTAGCAGAAGTTTCCAGAAAATTTTGCATAATTAACAAAATTATAATTTATAAATTGAAATATATTGCAAATTAAATTCTAAATAAATCATTACAAACTGCCGTAAAAAGACAAACGTCAGAAATTTTACCTACATATCATCATGAAATATATCATGCGACTAAATTTATACTCTCAACTTATACACCTTTTTAATTCATTAATTATAAATTAATTTATTATTAGTGTACACGATAAAGAAACAGATAACGTCATATATACCTTTTTAATTCATTAATTATAAATTAACTTAGTACATATTAGTGTACATATTATAGTACGATAAAGAAACAGATAACGTCATTAAAGTATCGTCATAAAAAGACAATTTGTCAAAACGAACCACTGTAGAAGGTTTCCAAGAACGAAGAATAATTTATGACTTTTTTTGACTGGCTGGTTCGAAACTTTAGTGTCATAAATATATTATATTCACTCACATCGTTTTCTCGCTCGCATATCCACTCCGATTTCTCTACCTAAACCCTCATCCTTGCTGGTATCTCGACGGTAGTGTAACCAAATGCACTTGGGACGAGCTATTAATATGAGAGCCCTATTTCGGTCTGTGGTGTGTTTACAAGCTCGAGCTTGCCCCGTGCGTGAAACGGAAGTACGGCGGATTCGCTTTTACGTGAGACACGTTGGAAAGTCGCGTTTAACCGAGTGCACGACTGCCCGTCGTAATTTCCCTGAATTAATTAGATTGCGTTCGCTGTGTCAGCGAGTCCGGGAGCTACAAAGTTGTACATAGAAAGCGCACGCCAATCAACGTGTCACTCATAGAGAGGAAAAGTGCGGTGGAAAAAAAGAAGTGCCGCGCTAAGAAAAGATCGTGTTTCGCCATAATTAAGGTCGCTTCCTGATTTAGATAATGACTCGCGGTATCTCCATTTTTTCCTTGCAGAAATTATAACGGCCGCGATTTGCAAGTAGTGATAAATATAATTAAATACTAGCGAATGTATGTTCGCAAAATTAATAATTAACATTAATTATCTCTCTCGACGTAAAATACGCAAAAAATGGGTAGGTATAAAGCGATAAACATTTACATATACTTCAAATTCAAATCCATTATGCATGCGAGCTTTCCAAGCTACAGTCAGAAATTTAACATTACATTTATTTGAGCTTTTATGAAAACCTAAGGACGTAATTATAATTTTGCAAAATGTTCGTAATAGCGTGAATTAAAAAAATTAAAAATAAATCTAATAATAAACATGTTTTAATATTTTCTTCGCTGTTAATAAAACGTTCCAATTCTAAAAAAAAAGATATTATTAAAGTCTGACTTTAATAATATTTCTAAAAGATATATGATATGATGATTGACACGGTACAGTATACATGTATAACAATTATAGCAAAGATGGAAAATCCGGAGCAAATTTGTCGATAGAGTATAAATATTCACGTGATGAAACGTGAATATAAAATTGCATCGTCTCGTGTGTTTTCATGAATACGATAAGACTTCACTGTTGCTGACCGTTTCTCCGCGTTCCTTTTCTCTTGGTTCTCTCCGTATTCGCGACCCAAAGATGCCGAGTACGTGGTTGCGTAATGCTCAACGGAGGAGAAAGTCGGCCTTACGAGGACTGCGGAGTTCTGTTCGTGCACGTGGAGCGCGCAGACGCTGGTTCTGTAACCGCGATCACCGAGCGTTACACAAAGCGCAGATTTCCATCGTACTTTCGACGGATAAAACACTCGCGCTCGGCCGCATTATCTCGCCCGCTTATCTCCATCGTCGAGTGCTCGGAAAATACGCGATCCACACTTTGACGTGCGCTTTGTTGATTTTCCTCGCGCAACTCGAAGTTTCGATCGTTAAAATAACAGTCTCACTTTTGCGCCGCAGTCCCAAATAGATATTTTGTTCGTAATCGCACCAGAGTACCGTTGCCGCTATTCACCGTTACTGCTAATTGTTTCACGCTCAAAAAGACCATCCCGGTGAACCGAGAGAGTTAAAAATAAATTTATGTATTCTATACTGCAGAAAAATTTAGATTACATGATAATTTTATCTCTTTGCGGTTAAATCAGAAAAAAATCTTGATTTAAATATTTGTGCAATCTATAATAAAATTTGATCGCAAGACATGCAATAATGGCTATATACTCGCGTTCACAGCAACGTGAAATCAGATAAAGTTAAAGCCTTTTCCGGCACTAAGAGTTACAAAAGGATTACGTTAGCACCACACATGATGCTAGATACGTACGAGCAGATACGAGGATAATCATTGACAATGCAGCCTTTATTCTGCGATGTCTTTATATTCAAGACGTCCGTAATGACGATTAATCAAAACTTTCTCAGATCGGGCAGCCATCGACGGAAATGTTTCCGTCGGGAAAAATGTTAATGGAAAGGAAAAAGAATTCGCGTTTATTTGTTAAAGCAAGCTCGTCAACAGGGCGCTTTTGATCCGAAAGACAAAGCTCACTTTGTCTTCGCGTAATCACCGCCACCGATTCCGATACGGATGACGGTTGCAAGGAGACTGTGCTTATTCCCACAAAAGTATACCGCCAGGCGCGTGTCTTTTTACGGTCAGATATTCTCGCGGCCGTAACGATTCTCTTGCAAAGAAGTTTCCAGCTCGAGCCGGATGACTCGTTATACTGTCACGCGAAAGAAGAAACAGAAAGCGATAAAAAGTACATTTTTCAGCATAGCTCGCCTCGTGATCTAAAAAGGATATTTATCTTGCAAGTTATGTCACTCAACGTAGCTCATCGGAATCATAAACTCTCTGTAGTGAACTCTCTTCATTATGTTTACAAACTAAAAATCTGACAGAGTAATACGCTAAAATGTGTTCCAGGTTATTAAATTTGTAATTACCCGTTAATGTCAAGATTGCCTCGCTCAATCAGAATTTATGCCCGTTTACGTCCCCGCCGTCTTCCTTCATCCAATATCCAGAAAGTAATGAAAGCATTCCGGAATTTGCGCGTCAAAAGAAACTCGATTTATGTTTCGAAGTCATATAACTTTCTGAACGGGAAACAAGCCAGGGACATATATCTTTACGGAATGTCACACGTTTTCTATCGAGATTCCTTAACAGATTCGGAGTCAATTTTTTCCCCGAACGAAAATTGTGAATCGTTATCTTTGAAAAGAATTTTCATTTCCTCAACGAGAAGCACGGCGGGACTGTTTTAAAGTGAGATTCACATGAAAACAAGCGAAGAATCAATTATTTGTTTGCACCGTTCACTCCAAATCCAAGTGTATAAATCTGTAATAACATTTTACGCATTTATATTTTTACACATTTTATCTGTGTTTTACACAGTTAAATGCATATTTTTTTCACGGTTAATTTCACAATAATATGTGCAAGCGTGTAAAAAATATGCATTTAACTGTGTAAAACACAGATAAAATGTGTAAAAATATAACACGCGTATAAATGCGTAAAATGTGACTACAGATTTACACACTTGGAATTGGAGTGTTGGACTTTGATGGACGTCGCAATTGTAAACGCCGATGATCTACCGGAGAGGTTTTAGAAGCTGTATTACGTATTTAGCAAAATTTCTGCGAAAACGGTTTCGATGGTTAATTTAATTCGCAAGTGCGCTAATACTCTCGCGAACGACTGGCTGCCTTTGTCTCGACGTCTCGTATTACCGGGACGGTAATAGCGGCTGTTATAAGACCGCGTGTCATAAGACCCCGGCGGCAGGCACCCGCAGGTAAAAATTGCATTTTCTCATGAAAGTCGGATGAATCATGCCGACGGCGCAATTCCTACGGTCATCTTCTCTCCTCGAGGTTACGCTCCTGGTCCCCCGGCTGTGGAGCGGCATAATAAGATTTCGCCCGTGTGTTTCGCTCGCTCGCTCGCTCGCTCGCTCCGGAGCGGTAAACTCGAGAGACTCCTGAGAAAGGAAGGAGACCGCCCCGCTCCGTAATTACGCTCTCGATGAGCCGCTAATCCGACCGTACGGCTGAAATTGTTTCAACAGCGAGTCTTATCGTGGTCGAAACGGCGGCATTTAATCAGTATTGAATCCGTGACTTCAGACACGCGTTAAGTCACGAATATTAGTCTTGAGGACTGCAGAAACTTTTATTTTCTCCCGCTCGAAAATATATTATAGTCATTAATTAGAAAGCTCCAATCCGATTCTCACTCGAGACTCACTATTTGCTTCGAAAAGCTTAAACACTTACAGACAAACTGTTCAATGCTAATGAGCTTTGATATGCATTCAACGAAGACTCAACGTATTCAGACTCAACAGAGTGAATATGAATTGTATTGCTCCTACGACAGGAAACTGTTCGATTCATCTACTTTCACTCGTCGGATCAAAATCTCACGATAGATGCTTTCCGTAAAGCCGTGAGTCTCGTGAGAACCCGACACAGACCTTCCTGTGTTTGAGCTCTCGGTGCAAAAAGGCCAGACACCGTAATCTCGACAGCGATCATATTTTCGAGACCATTGACTTTCGCAATTCGACGGTTTTCCTACGCTCGGTAGTCGTCTTTGTTTTACGACGGGAGGGAGGAAGAGCGAGGGGGGGAGGATGAGTGGGCCTAAAGTGAGATCTCCGAGGTCTCGACTATTTTACGCTATCGTTTATTCGGGAAATAACCTTGTGAGGAAGATACGCGATAAGACGACAGCGTAAAAGTGCTATCTCTACGAAACGCGACACCTCGATATCTACGCGCATGTAATAGGTGTCGATGCGTTCCACGGAAGGTGAGATCTCTTCCTCCTCCCTCGCCTCTCCCCTATGCACCTTCTCCTCTTTCAACTTTCGATCGCATTCCATTTTATGCGTCGGCGAATCTAGGTTATCGCTTAGACTACCATCGTCGCGCAGCTATATCGGTTTCTGCGCCTAAGATACTACGCGCGAGCCGCCTCAAAATGTCTGTAACGACGTAAGTGTCTAGAAAAATTTAGCAACCCCTTCAAAAATTCATTATTCTTATACATTTAAGCCGTTAATTATATATTACGCTTGAATCAAATAATTAACGAAGAAAATATATTTGCGACGATAATTTCCCAGTGAGGAGCACGTGACGAAGAAATACTGCCGCGATCCAGAAATCCTGTCGAAAAGATTTGAAAATTTCTCTCGCGATGCGAAGGTGGAATGAGAAGAACTCGACGAAAGATTTTACTCAACGGAAATGTCTTTCGCCTCTTTTACCTTCTCAGGCGGTTTTTGTCAGAATCGCCGTCGACGTCGACGCGCTTTTCGTACTTTGCACAATCCTGCGAAATGCCTGTTCGTCTCTGTCTTGGATACGCTGACACGGATACGTTCGCGAAAACTTGATGTTCCGACAGAACGCAATTCCACTGACGGGCAAACGTCTTATTTGGAGAACACTGTGAGAAGAGCACTGTAAGATTGTGCTACCTCATAGAGAATCATCATGTATCGACATATCTTTCTCAATGTTGAATTATTTTTTTAAAGATACTTAAAAATTTATTTAAAAAGTGTCATTACTTGCAGTGAAATTCTCAATAAAATTACATCTTTTCATTTCTCTATTTTTTAAAATAAATTAATTAATTAACTAAAAATAGAATTTGATTACTTTTAAATAAAAATTAAGAAACACTTTCAAGGCAATACTACGTATGTTACAGATATCTAACGTCAAATATATGTGTTACGTTTTACCTACTTTAATTGTAGTGTTTAAAGTAGTGGATCAATTCAAGATCAATTATGATACAAAGATCTTATTTAATGTAATATAATGTAATGTGATGCTTCTTATCTTTTTTAACACAATGACTCACGACTATTTGTATCAGATTAATATCTCCACTCACTTTGAATTAAATTATTTGACCTGCCCGACATGCAGTTCAACTGGCCGCGGATCTCTGGGATAGCGATGGCCGGTTACAGCGCAGTGAAGCGATGTGAAACGCGAGGCGCGAAGGCACGAGGAAACTTGAATTAATAAAGCAAAGCTTACGAGAGTGAGAAAGAAAGAGAGGGAGAGAGAAAGAGAAAGAGAGAGGGAGAGAGGAGAAGGCAGTGGCCGCGCATGTATTTATAGATCGTCTTGCAAGTAAGCCACTTCGGTCGCGTTCAATTACGCTTCTTCCGCGTCGTTCCGATATGCCCATTTTGGTCCAATCTCCGTTCTCTATTAACTCGATCGTTCGACGGCTCAATTTAAATCGTCGGCGCGGTTATCGACCCGAGGAAAAAGGGTGGAAGACATTCGCAAGTGCACGAGCGAAAAACATCTTTCGTATATGAAACAAAATGTACTCGCTCTTGTGCCTTACTTCATGTCGAAAATAAGTGAAAAAAATCATAAAAACATTTCTAAATAGTCTTGATCAAGATATATTACATGGTCTGAATCAGACTTTAAAAATCTTTCTAAAAGATGTCGTTTATATTCTGAGAAAAGATGACACTTTATAAAAGAGATTTTTAAGCACAATATACGTGACACGAGTGCTGTTATTATTCGCGTTTACTGAGAAGCAAAAGTTCGGGTATTTTTGCGAATTAATGATGAAAACCGAGAACGCTCGCCGTGAAAGATTTTTTCACTGAATTGAGCTGCACGCATCTTGATCAAGCTTACAACTGCAACGAACTTAATATACTCGACGATTACAACCAACGATAGCCAGTAGCGTCGGTGGTACTACCTTGTAAACCGAGCAGCCGAAGTTTAAACTATTCGCTCCTTAGAGGCTCAAGTATCCGACCGAGTGCTCAGCCAAGTGCCTGCGGTGAGTGTATATACTGGAAAGCAACTAGAAACGCAGAAAGGAAAACTTTGTTTTATGCCCTGGGCTTGTTGTTGTAATTTAAAGTTCGTTTCCGCATAGAACCTTCCAAACCAGGTTCGAGCTTGAGGAAGGGATCCGCGTTAGCGCGTCGTAACATATAATAACACAAATGTAGAGTAACATTTTTCGTTTTGTGCGTCATTTTGCAATGACGCTCCTATAATACCGCCCCGCCTGTTTCTCGCGCAAGAGATCGCGCCGAGAGCGAAAGCTTGGTGAGCCACTTGGGGAAAGCTCGGATGCTATATCCAACGCGAAGGAAGAAACAGCCTTCCAGCCGAGTGTATGATTAATGCCTGGCAAACTTAACTATAACCGCCTCGCCACCGCCGACGTGTATACATTATGACGATGCAACGTCAATGTATAACGCGAGGAACTCGCGCCGTTCGTACGCCGGAAACGGCGCCGTTGAGACGAAACAGTTAAATCCGACGCTTGCCAATACATAATTTGAAAGAGCCAACTCGGAATTTCTTCTATTTACTCTGAGTATATTTAAAGAATGTTGTTCATAAAGATAAATCATCTGATGGATCCAACCAATTAATATATTTCTCTTATCTTCTTTACATCTTTATAAAATTTATTTACTTTTTAATAATGCACGTATACACATATATACGTTTCCTTAATATTATTTTAATGTGGACATATATATTTCTATTGTAGGTATTATCATATATAATATTCAGAGTTTACTTATCCCCTTTAAGTATGTTCAGAAGATATAACTTACGACCGATTTACTAAATCAATGCTATCATAATCTTACGAGCCAAGAATTAATTATAACGATACGGTAATCGTAGTAGATTTCTAGTATATTTAATGCGTAAAAAAATATCAAATTCGTGACCGTCTAAAATTAAATTACACTCCCGCGAAGTTTCACCGAAACCTCGTGGTGACGTGAAGATTTCTGGCACGACAACAGAACCAGCTGCCACCTGTGAGTCGTGCGAGGCGAGTAACATGATACACCGGTCATGATAAATTCGCGATTTAAACGATAAAGACAAATGGCGGTTTATGTCACGATAAAAACCAATTAACGTTCGCGAAACGCTGACTGGACCCGAGTAAACTGTCGTTCTCGGTTGCAAAGGGCAGCGCCAAGCGTTAATTAATTAATTCCGCAAAAGGTCGCCACGGATGTCGTAACGTCGTCCTTAATTTCTGCAGAAAACGACTACCTGAGATTTCACAATTGTATCCCCGATTTCATCTAGATTATACAATTGATCCGCTCCCTCGTAAAACGGAAAAAGGATTTTACATATAGCGACTTGCGTTGCCGTATATTAGATACCTATTACGTGAATCGAGCCTATAATAATATCCGATGGAGAATCGAGATATCTGG